TATATATATATACATACAGACTATTAGCTAATGTTGAGTTGGTTAGAATGTACATGCGTATCGAGTCTCTGCTTGGATTGTAGTAGGATAGAACTTGTTCGTGGGCCTGACCCACTCCTATTTTTCAGGTGTACATCAGTTCCAGGCTTGAGCTTGTTCGTGCTGTGCAGAGACGATCTTCCATTCTACCGACGATGTAGGATTTCTTTCCAGATCTTGGATTTGGGTTTATCTTTCTTTTTACTTTCTTTTAATGTGAGATTTTTATTAGGGGTCCACTAGAGATGGATTCCCGAGTTGTTCAAATTATGGATATTTGGTTTATCAAATTTAAGTATTTAATTATTTAAGGATTATCTTTTAGTTTCTTTTCAGCTTTAAACTTTCATTTCTTAATTCATTTTGTATTCTGTGTTCGCTATAACATATTAATTGTTTGATACTCCCTCGGGTTTGGGCCTGGGCCTGATCAACCCGTGTCTCAGATCCGAGGGGTATCACAATTGCGTTTGGTGGTACATCTAGAAGGAGAGAAATAGTAAAATGTTTGAAGGGAATGAGTCGTTTACGGCGACGCTGAAACTTTTTATTATTTCTTCTCTCTTTAGTTATGTGAAGAGGAGTTCTTATTCCTCTTTTGATAATTTAATATCTTTTTTCGATTCTTTGGGGCGTTAGCCCCCGGTTCCACTATTGTTTAAGGGACGTGTTCCCCTCTTGAACGCCTTTTTAATTCATTATTACTTATCAAAAAAAAAAAAAAAATTCTGAATTAAAGGAATAGGAAGAGGTGGATTCCTTCTCCCTCTCACACGCACACACACATAGAGAGCTGGATTCACTATTGTTAACATAAAATTTTCATTTTAGATTGCATCTTAAATGCTAGCCTTGATGCTAAGTTCCCTAAAATGTGATTTGTACTACCTGAATCATGTTGCGGCTATTTCTTTGTGTCAAACTTTATATATTATGAAAAAAAATGACCACCACATTTTTTCTAGTTTCTACCTTATGATTTTCCACCTTATTAGACAGTAGAATTTAGGTTGGCTAATTTCGTGTCTAAATTTTGAGTTTGTAATATATTTTTAGTTTGAATTTAAAAATTTAGTTAGTGTCAAGCTAGTTGCTGGATTGATAAACTACTCTTTAAAAAAGATAACATCCAGGGAATGAATGCATCCATCATTCACACTAAATTGGTGAGTAAACATATATGTGTTAGATTAACTAGTGTGCAAGTTCTACACAGGGATTCAACTGACTAGAGACCAAAGTGTTTGGGACAAGGATCTAGAGAAGCAGATATATGTTGATGGAGCGGACTGAGGGCCTAGAGATTCTTGTGGAGAGTTTGGCTACAGTCTTTATCCGGAGGTAACTAGGGGTTCTAGGGTTTTGAAACAGTTGCAACTAGTTGAAACTGTTCTAGGGGTTCTCATATGGAGTAATAGATTTGATCGGTCTGAACCGTGGTTTTTTCCCTTGAATTTTTCACCTTAAATTCTCACTATCTATTGTGTTTTTCTGTTTTATATGGCATATTAGACTGTTATGTAATATACTTATTTTTTTTCCCTTGAATTAATTTTTTTTTTTTAGCGTTCACTTTTGGGACAGGCTAGTAGTTGTCAATTTGGAAGTGGAAGTAAGCTCACGAACTCATCTGACTGAAGTAAAAAGGTGGCGGATCCAATCCTTTGGGTTCTCTCTTGCTAATGCCAAGAAAACATAATGGTCTTCAATTGATGTGCTATGTATTTGGGGATACCAAAATTGAAAGTTTCATATGTGATTTATTATTTGTGCTACAACTTTATTTTCTTCCATATTCTTTTTCTACTCGAGTGTGAATGAACCGTTGGTATGTTTGCTGAAGATTGTTTAGCTATGTTTGAAGTGTATTTTTCTTTCTTTCTTGTTTTCGGTATCTAGTTATGGTTGAAGTATCTTGAAGTATTAGATGTTGTGCTGAACTTTTTCTATATGAGTAATGATGTAAGAACTTGTTAGATATATATGCTCAACTTGAAAAGTAAATATTTATTTATTCTATTAGTTTTTTATTTATTTATTATGACTATGAATTTTATTACTATGTTGCTTACACAAGTAAATTATATTGGTGTTTTATCAATTATACCTCAAGGTTTATCAAAAAATATTACTACTATCTCATAATGTTAAGTTGTAATACTTAGTTGTGATTTCCCAGTTATTCTATTACTTTATTATGTTAGATGGGTATCACTTAAAGACTAATGTACAACACATTGATGCAACATTAGTTTAAAGGTGGGTTTTAACCATTGGAATGACCCAATGAAGATTTCACATTACAAACTCTATCCGAAGTTTATAAAGGACGGACCTTTAAAAGGTATATCTCAAATTTTCAGGTGAAAACCAACATAATTGTTAGGTCTAATAGTTCTTGGTGTATTGATACTGGTCTTTGCAATCTGTCATAGAGATCAAAAGGCTAAATGAAGAAGGGAAATGGCAAAAGGGTATAACCGAGACGAGGAAGTTGACTATAAAAATATGAGATTATATTGAATGCTGCGTTCCTAAATAGTATGAAGATATTTAAATGAAACACAACCTGAAGGATTCATTTTTCCCGTCGCTCAACAAAAAAGAAAGCTAATTCTGCTAGCTTTCGTACAAGATGCAGTTACTTATTCAACAGGAGCAAAATTGTTAATAGGTTGACACATTCGAGCTTCTAACTCATTGAATCGGACATTCAACCCATTCTGTTGCTCTACAAGCTTAGATATCAACTCATCTTGCTGATTACTACGTGATCTTTCATTTCCTTCTTGCGTCAACATGATGTCAACTCAAGCTCTGATACCAAAAACTGATGTAGGACAAAGAACTGGCTCAAATAGAAGAAATCAAATACGAGTTGTGGGCTGGAAATTCAGAAAACAAAGCTAAGATTCAAGGGTTGTTAGTAGAGAAGAAAGATTGAAAATAACAAAGAAAAGCTTATAACAAAGAAAAGCCTATTTGAATCACTCCAATAGGACCTAGGTATCACACTTAGAGAAGGCATCACCCCCTCAAAATTTTTGAATCACTCACACGAAATCTCAAAAGAAATTTTGTTATTCATTCATTGATTGCGGAATCAGAATTATATAGTATAATCAAAAGTTGACTCTAGCTTAATAAAGTAACAAATAACTTAATTGATGCAATTTAATCTAATTGATGCAATTTACCAAGACAATGCAAATTCACCATAATTAATGCAAATACCAAAATAATACAATTTGACCAAACCCCCTAATTAGGCAAGACTCCAAGTGGACCCCCCATCGTGTAGTATGTGCCAAATTAAGGTTTGAACCTTAGAACCCTTCTTGTCACGCCTTTTATATACTTTAAAAGGCTGTTGCCACTGTTCTCTACCAATTTCTAAGCCCCAATGCGAGTTCCTCCCCCATCAAATGATGTCCAAGTGGACCCCCATCGTCTAGCATGTGCCAAATTAAGGTTTGAGCCTTAGACCCTTCTCGCCACGCCTTTTATATACTTTAAAAGGCTGCCGCCACTGTTCTCTACCAATTTCTAAGCCCCACTACGAGTTCCTCCCTATCAAATGATCTTTTGTTCGGCTCCTACCAAATGCACCACCAAACATAAAAGGGTGCCACCTCCAAAAATAAGAGCGTGGGATCCCACAAAACAACCTCACCAAGAGTCAATCAAACCTCTCGAAGAGGCAAAACAAGCCAAAAGTAATCCACTCACTGAAAATGAGGATGTATATTATCTGTCGCATTAGGATTTTTCAACAAGAGAAAAAATGTAACCAACGATTATGGAAAGAGGCCAATTAATTTGTTTTGGAAAATTGGAATATCCGTCTAACATTGAATTCTGACGTGTTAGCTCACCTAAGGATGTGTACAGACTTTAAAGAATTTCCAACTATCAACAACTCATTTTAGCGATGGGATTACAAGTCATTACAAACATTGCATGGTTATTTCTGTAATTTTAACCGGTGAGACTGGTTTTTCCAAAACCATAGGAAGGGTTGACCACATTTTCTCAAAAAAAAATTTTGTCCAAGGGTGGAAACGTGAGGAGGTCAGGAGTATTAGAAAACGTGCACAAATAGTATTTTAATGAGTAGGGATGGAGAGAGAAACCTTCCTAGAAGGAAGCACTCATATTGCTGCAAAAACATATCCATATATGTGGATGAATTTCTTGCTCACCGTTGAGCAAGAGATAATTTCCGTATGTGTGTGTGTGTGTATATATATAATAAAAAATATATTGTTCAAGGAAAAAATGCCCTTTTTTTTTTCATGACAAATAACTCATGCATCCGCTCTTCATAAATTCTTTTTCACCATAGATCAAATTCACATGTTAAGTATCATCTTGGTGAAGGAAACTCTTGCCCTCTTATCAATGCATTTCTGCATAGAGGCTACCACCCATAATTACGTAAAACTTCTTCGTCAATTACTCATGTCCCTATTACTCAAATTATAATATTTCTATAAAATCAAAAACAATTTACCCAAAAAATAAATAAAAGCAAAAACAAGAATACTACAGTAATCAATATAAATATGTATATATATAAGCACAAATATACAAATGAACGAATTATCATAGCACTGATAGGGTAGCAAGGTTCAGTACACAAAAGCCTATGACAGCAAATTAAGGAAGCCAAATCGACAATGCAACACAAACCAAATGGATTTATTGGGACTTTTATAGAACCTGCCTGCTAATTATTACTGATATTTAAAATCCATTTTTATATTCATAATCTCGATAGCTTAATTTAAGCTACATTGCCCTTCAAGTATGCATGGTATATCCATCCATTTTTAAAAGTAAAACTTCAATTGACATGGTGACCAGCATAAAAACAGAAGCATTCAAATTGAAAGTTAAACCTTAGGTCAGGAAACATAGCACAGCAATAAGACAAGGATAATACTCCATAAAACTGCCACTTAGAAAAGAGAAGTGCCCTTCCCCTTCTTATCTCCGCCAATCTCAAAATGCTTGCACCTCTGCAAAAAAAAGGGCAACAATCACATGTCCATAAAGAACAAGAAAGCAACACTTAAGTGATCGAAAACAGAAGAGCAAATGGAAGTTGAGAAGCTAACCTTGATTGGGTGCTGTGATACATGCTTGCACCCCTGGCATTGCAGCCTCAGCACAATCTTCTTTGTAGTTTTTGCCTACACAGAGAAAGCAATGTCGTAATTTTTTTCCCAGTCTACCAACCATACAGAGATTAAATTTATAAGATAGGACCTTCATCGGGAAAGAAGTGTATAGGTTAGTTAAAACGATGGATGAGGGTCATTTCAAATAAGATACATACCCTGTAAAGAAAAGAGACATAATAGAAATAGGTTTTACCTTCTTGTGGAAAACAGGTTTGGTTTGTCCACCATAACCTGACTGTTTCCAATCATACCGGCGCTTGCCCTGCACAGCCAAACTATCCTTTCCCTTCTTGTACTGTGTAACCTTATGCAAGGTATGCTTCCGGCATTCCTTAGACTTGCAATATGTCTTCTTCGTCTTTGGAACGTTCACCTGCAAGATACAGATCATATTACATCAAAATGGAAATAGGAAAAATGAAGCTAAAAATGTGCAATCTGGTAAGAGAGCATTTTCATTCTTGTTTTTACTTGAAATTAATTTTTGCTGCTTTTGCATCTAAAAACTAGGAAATAAAAATGATAGGGATCTCACCTAGAAGTTTCAATATTATAGACACCTCATAGTTAACTAAGAACTTGGAAAAAACAATGGGAACCAATAAAATCAATGGAAACGTAATAAAAAAAATCATAACACACTCATAATTCATAAGAATTCAATGAAACACACAAGTTAGCTCATGGAGCATGCTTATTGGAGACGTTGCAACATATGTCAAGGAGCCCTCAGTTGATTGTGTACATAGAATATACGAGTCCAAAGGTAGGGTAAGAAATAGTTTAGCTAATGGAGAGAGTAACTCTTCCAATCTTCCGGAACCAGTAACGAGTAAACCATGTCAAACCAAGAGCAATCAATATCTGAACGGAACTGATTCAAAGTTCTCCTAGAATAGTTTCTGATGCAAAATGAAAGTTATAGGATATATATGTGTGTGTGTGAGAGAGAGAGAGAGTAATTCAAAGGAGAAATATAAATATCTGATAGAATTCGATTCATTTTAGTAATGACCCATCCGAATCACAACTGAACAGTTGGTGTGGGGGGGTGGGGGGTTTGAAGCTACAACATATAAAGCTCTTAGAATTTCCACCATTACAAATCCTATACCTTTTGACCAACCTTTTCTCTTCCACACAACAACTTATTTTTGCTATGCTGCCATCATAAGCAGCTGTTTGCTCCATATGTAATGACTAGTGCCTTATTGAGAAAATCTAGTATACACGGCTATATAATAAAGGAAAGACCAATGAGGGTCTGGAAGACATGTGCTAATATGATGATACTCACAACTTTATATACTTCCACCATATTAAACAGACAATATCACTATTAAATATAAATCCCTGATGTCGGCTGTAAAAGCTGATTGTAGAGAGATGCCTGAGAAATTCAATAAGTAGTCAAAAGAGAATAATGTTGAATTGCCACAAATTCTAGCTTCCATATCTTTTCAAATATGATAGCATTATGTACAATTTGGGTGAGGTTTACGGATTGAAAGCAAGTGGAGCGACCTGTAGCTTCCCCTTGTTAGCCTTGAATTTCATATGTTGACTACGACGAGGGAGATTCCTGTTCTTGACAGTCACTACCATATGGCTTCCTCACACCAAGCATTCCTTTGTTTGTGAGACCTCTTCCCTAACCTTCGGTCTAGTCCCGAGCCTCCTTTCTCCGACAAAGTTCTCTTTCCCCTTTTCCACACACACACAAAGAATCTTTGGGAATTGATGACTTCCTAGCCCAACCTTAGAAGGGGGAATAAAGAGACGAAGGAAAAAGCATTTTTTATTAACCGAATTGAAATCCAACCCACAAAGCAATATGTCAATATGTCAATATGATATACATTGAGTCCAGGACCAACATACATTTGACCACTACTTCCTTTGCTTTTATGACTTCCGACCTCTTCAAAATAAAACTTAAATAAAAGGAATATATATATATGGACACAACCCCTGCCTATCCAAAAGAAGTAGAAATTTAATTTTTTTTAGTTTTTATAAGTAAACAATTTGTAATATTTTTAAAACCGGACTAAAAAGGGGTGCAACACGAGGACTTCCCAGGAAAATGAAATTTTGAAAAACAATTACCCATATAAGAAAGAGTAAAGCCAAAACCATACAGAAACCAATGGCCGGAAAAGACACACTACTGAAAGGATAATGCCTCTACTTCCATTAATAATTAACAAGAGATGATCTAGAGGCACACCAAATTGCAAATTGAGGTCAACAATGAAAAAGCACATTCCAAGTTCATCAAAAATCTACAATATTTGCGAATTATTAACTATTCCCCGCACACTGAACATATCAGGTCCAGCCATGATTTCTAGAAGACACTCGATGTGTCCAATCGCAGATATTTGCAAGAATCAGCAACATAGATCAGTTCAAGTCAGCTAGGAAAACAAATATGTGGGGCATCAGGGTCCAACCATGAGTTGTAGATCACACCCAACTCCTAATATAAGCTCAATGTATACACCTCCAACTTCAAGTATTATTACTTTCTAAGAGGCTGACAAACAAAGCAACTTTGGCTAATTGGTCCAAACCATCAAACAAAGGAAAAGGCAATAGCAAAATCGTATTTTGGTAATAAGGTATGCTAAATTTCACACCAGTGAACTCCTATGAAGGATTCATCCATTAATACCAAAAAATCTATACTCAATACACAACTCAAAATGTGTGTGTGCGCGTGGGTGTAAATATGGCATGAATGATTTATTTTCTCAATTAAGGTCCTACAGCTTTGAATTTCGGTCCACGAAAGGGTTTATGACCGAGTTATTAGATCAAAATAATTTTATGAGAGCAACTTCCAAACACTAGTACCAGAAAAGCATGAAGATTAATCGAGAGAGAGAGGTTTTTACCATTGTTGATGACTTGATGCTAGCTAGAGAGAGACGACGGTCGTTAGGGCTTTCTGAACCCCGTACTTTTCAGTTACGGAAATATAGATTTTAGGGTTTGCGTTTTTTTGGGGGTGTTTAGTGTTCAAAGCTTTTTTTTTTTATAAAATTTTTTATTTTTCTTTTTTCTTTTCTTTCTTTTCTTTTCATTTTCTTTTATCAATGCAAATTTTTTTAAGTATCCATATATAGTTTTTCAATGTTTATGTATGGAATATCCTTTTTAAAATCCTTTTTAATCCCAATAAAAAAGAAAAACTTCTTCAAACAAATGAACAGTTTCCATTATTTATAATGTTTTAGAAAAATAGTGGCATTAATTACTTTTTTATACTTTATACAGCTTTCAAATCATGATTACCCTAGTTTACTTTCCTGAGAATAGTTTTGTTTACTTAGAACTAAAAAAATTTAAAAAATATTTGTACAATTTTTTTTTTTAATTGACAGTTTTTGACAAAAAAATATAAAATAAAACTCAATTATAAGAAATCATATTTTCATAAATTTGCATTTAAATATTTTTTTAAACTATTTTTTACTTTTCGAGTTCTTGACCATTCTTTTCTCAGTGACAAACCAAACCAACCTTTTTCTTTTAATTTTCTCTATTTATTATCAATGACTTATTTTTATACAAATGATGAAATATTGGACAGAAGAAGTTAAGGGAAACGACACCAATTATTTATTTTTTATTATTATTATTGTTATTACTTTGATGGAGTGGAATGAAATTATCATGCTTGTGAGGGAAAAAAAAAAATTTATATGCCTTATATTAGTTTCATCCAGTGAAACACTTTGTTGCTAATTTCTTCATTTTTAAAGAGTATGGAAGGATTTGAGTCTGATATGGGTAAAAGGTGCACATGAATGTGTGTTTCTTGTCGATGTATTTAATATATATATATATATATAAATGAGACACTTTTAAAGAAAGAATGTGTCGTTCTCATGTAATTTGGTCAAGCAAATGAGAACTTTAGCACACCTTAATTATTTAAACTAGCATGCAAGTTAACATTGAATTTAAAAGCTTGCAAAACATAATAATGTTTACACGGAGGCAATTGCCTAAGGCCCCATGCAAGTGATTTTATTATATTATTTAAATATTTATTCTTTTAATGTATCACTTATGTTTTATTATTGTGTTAATTACCAACAAATATAATTTCTCTCCTATTTCTTTTAATTCGAAAGTTTTATCTTTTCATTTCTTCATTTTTCTCTCAACATTTTCACACATTTGGGCTTCCTCTAATCCTTAAATTGTGTTGTAAATCAATATTTGTTCTAACATTATATTTCTTTTAAACTTTGTAATTTATCGACTCTCTTACTCATGAATTACATATACTATTAAATCACTATATCTTAAATTAAAAACATAAACAATTTTATATTAATATAGTTAATGTCAGGAAGCTTAGTTTAAGTGTTTCGCTTTAGGACTCGTAGTGCATCAAGCTGGCCGACAATATTTATATCATCTCTCCTCATTTTTGTGTAATTTTGGACGAATGAAAATTATAAGCAAAGAAGGGATGCCTCGTACATTCATCATTCTCTTCTCTCAACTCTCCATTGTAACAATAGAAACCTGCTTCAACCCTCCTCTCTTTCCTCATACCGAACAAAGTATAGACGATGATGCCAAAGGCATGCAAAGCAACTGCCTTAGGTTTGTATTGTAACGTAATTGCATCATCAACTATATTATAACAACTTCCATTTTCTATATAAATATAAACACCGTATATATATATATATTTTTTTTTTCACTAGTGAGAATTTACAATATACTGATTTGGTAATTAAAGATGACATGTTCATTTATTATTGATCCACATCAACAGTCAGTATATTGTCCATAAAATTAATAAAAAGGAAAAAGTCTTAAACCAAGTTGAGGTTGGTAGAAAGAGATTCAGAGCTGCCATCTATTAAAATCGTATTGGAAACCGTTATTATAACCATTTGAGAAAGTAAGGTCTTCTTGGATCACTTTTCATTTTTTCGAGAACAATTTTCATTCAAACAATCACAATCGAAAACATTATTCAGAGTTTTTATTTTTTATTTTTGTTAGTGTGAAAATTTTCTTGGTTGGAAAAACTACAAAATAATTTTCAGAACTAAAAAAGAAATAAAATAAAATAAAATTATTTGGCATGATTATAAGAAACAGAGAACATCATATTGCTAAACTAAAAACTGTTCAAAAATTTTGCATATACAAAACTTGTGATTACCTCCATTCACTGAAGAGAGAGATCCAAACCTATAAATTTTAACATTAGTGCATATTTTTCACATCTTTTCAATTCATATTTTGTTGTGTAATTAAAGGTTCCAATGATTTTTTGATCAAAATTGTGCTCAGGAAAGCTCAATTTGTACAATAGACACACAAATGCAATAGGTAGATTATATCTACCACTTTATACTAATTAATGTTAGTGAGGACATTACAAAGAATTGTTCACAAATGCAATAGGTAGATTACCTATATCAAAACCCAAATCCGCATATCATTTCAGATTGTTCAAAAAATCAAAACCCATACTTTTTCTTCTCTAAGCCTCTCTATCACACCACAGCTTCTTCACAAAGAAAAAGTATTCTGAGAAGTCTCTCCTTCTCTTCTCCGAGATCTGGAAGGTTCTTTAATGGCAGATTTGAAGAACACCACCAATCCCATTTCTTTGTTCTCCTTCTCCTCCGAGATCTAGAAGGTTCTTCTCCGAGATCTGGATCGGCGGCGGTTGAGGGAGAGCGACGCCGGCGATGGCGGTAGAGAGAGAAAGAGAAAGGAGAAAAAATAAAAAATAAAAATAAAAATAAAAAAATTTAATTTTGGGTTTCGGGTTGAGCCCGAGCCCAACCCGAATTTGTCTGACTTTTGACAAAATCTAATCCGAACATAAACCCGATTTGTGAATTGTATGTCCAAATTTCAAAAATTATGGGTTAGAGTTGGGTTGGGTTGGGCTGGGTTAGCCCACCCAAGTTGCAGCCTTAATTCCAATAATCAACTCTTAGTTTCAAGATAGCATAAATAACAACCTCAGTTCTCTATACAAAGGAATACAACCTCAAGTCTTAATAAGAAACATGCCTAATGTATTCAATAAACAAAGTTTACACACAATCAAGAATTCACTATACATTGGAATACATTTTACACACAATCAATCCCCCTTTTCCACTACACTTGCTTACACTAGTATATTTATTTAACTCACCATATACTGGGTCATCATTCACATATAGGAAAATGGGTCTATGAAGCCTCTGAATCTCCCCTCTGAGAACAAGTACCAAAGAATTGTTCTCTGTAATTATATCTACCACTTTATACTAATTAATGTTAGTGAGGATGATATTGCAAGTTCGGTATGAAATTAAAAACCCCTCAAGTTTGTTATTTTTTTTTTTTTTTTCGGTGATTGGTGGAGATTTTGTTCTCCATTCACATATCATTTTCAATGACGTGAAAAAAGGTTTCATTTACCCAAGGTAATTGTGGGATGAAACATCATGAGCCATCACTTTATTTAATTCATAAACTGGACCATCATGGATTTTCCTCACACTTTTAGATGAAATCAGCATAAAAAGAAAGAAAGAAAAAAACCTATAAGAAACTAGGACTGGACC